CATTTTCGCACTAAGCTGCGTTCCTCACATACCAATCACTATTTCTTCATGACTTCATATTCATGTGGTAACTCCGTCGAGGAATTGTGCTAACAAAAAACAACCTCGCACGACGCAACTGGTCGGGAAGTAAGAAGTGTTGTTTTTGTAATCATGACGAGACTATTAAACACCTCTTTTTTCACTGTAAGTTTGCGCGCTCTACGTGGTCAGCCATCCAAATAGCGTCAAATTTGTATCCGCCCACAAGTGTTGCCAATATTTGTGGTCATTGGCTGGCCGGTATTTTAAATACGTACGAAACACTAATAAGGATGAGAGCGTATGCCTTACTATGGTCGCTTTGGCTATGTAGAAATGATGTTTTTTTTAATGACAAAACTGTTTCTCCTTTGTAGCTTATTTTTCGTTGTACGCACTCACTTCATACGTGGTGTATGCTACAACGAGCAGCGTACCAATCGCTGTTCAAGGCGGTGCGTATGCTGTTGGAGCAGGTGGCTACCGAGGTTTTTTTACCCAACATGGATGACTGCATAATCTCCGGCTCGGTCTACCATCTCTTTCGCATAGGCATAGTGTCGGTCTATGGACTCTACTGTTGCCAAATTGTCGGTCTTTTATCTTTTTGTTTATCAGACAACTGGTGTTTGGCTGTGTGCATGCTAGTTATGCAGAGGCCGAGTGATACTCTTAATGCTTTGTATCACTTTGATGCTACATTTTAAGATAATAAAAGCGCCCTTTATCAAAAAAAGAAGAAAAAAGAAACTTTGTTGGAAATATTTCAACAAGCAAAGGAATCTCTTGACAAGTTGGGGATAATGACTAGATCACAAACCTGGCTGCGGACACTTCCAGATGTGTCCTTAACGATGTATTCCTTAACGATGGCTGCTAAATAGGAGAATGGTGACGACCAATTGGCCGTGGCCATCAAAATCATGCGGAGTTTCCTATGGAGAATGTCGACCATACCTTTGTCAGCAAATACGGTCACCATGCATCATTCAAAAAAGGTTGGCATCGATGACGACAAGTATTTTCTGTGTAATGTTCCAATTAGACCGAATCTCTATGGCCGCGACATCTATATCATATGGAAGCACCTTCGTGGCCGTTCGCATATTGTAGTGTAATAATAGAATATTGCTCTCGTGGGCACATTTCTTTTTAACCGGTGATTCTTGCATCTTCCAGGAAAAGCAAAAATAGCTTCAGTTGGAGCAAATTGAAATTTCCCAATGCGCTTTCACTATAAGGAACGCATTATTAATTGAAGAGAAAAATCCTTTGAATTTTGGTTGGATGACCCTCCCAAAGTTGCTTGTTGTTTCATGTTTAGGGAAATGGGTTATTTCAGCCCTGCTTTTATGAAAAAGCAAAGGACGTGTTGTTTTCATTTGAAAAAGTGGCTTTTAAGTTGTGTCTTCTTAACTCATTACTCGTTGTATATACTGCCTGATTTTTGCTGTCTGAACAAGTATCTCTAGAGAGATCCACTAAGGGAATCTCGATTTTTTCCAAGTGTGCCAGGGGTTTGCCAGAGTGCATTTGTCCACTAGTAGGCAAACACGCCCTTTGCCGAGTGTTTTTTTTTTTTTGCACTGGGCAAAGAACTCTTTGCTGATTGCTTTTTTCTTTGCACTCAGCAAACAACTGGGTTGTTTGCTGAGTTCCTTTTTTTCCCATGGCAATGTTTTTCAATTTTTTTCTTTTTCTTGTCTTTTCTCTTTGCCGAATGTCTTTTTATTGCACTTGGCAAACACTTCTTTTTTCTGTTTTCTTATTATTTCTCTTGTCCCTTTTCTTTTGTACAGTATTTCTTTTCTTTTTTTCCTTTTATGCTCTGTTATTTTCTACATTATTTATTCATTTATATTAATATTTTATCCCCCCTCTCTATTTCTTTGTAGGCATTAGACATTTAGTGAATATTAATAAATTGAAGTACAAGAGCTTGGAAAAACTGGGTTGAAAAGTCAAACATGTGTTCTTGAGTCTATGTTTACACATTATACAACAACAATAAAATTGAACATGAGAGTGCCAAGACTCGACCCCGAACAATGAGTTAATTGGTTTTTTAACTCCAAAAAATGTAAAGGAAGTCCGAAAAACAAGAAATAATATACCTTAGGGCACATCTCCAATCTTGAACTCCAAATTTCCTCCCGCATCCGTCCGTTGACAGGGGAGGATCAGTCCGCGGAAACGGATGCGGGAGGCAGCCATCCAACACTGCCCACATACATTTTAACTATTATCGGAACAACCGAACGAAATGCATGCAAACACGTTCGGATTTTCATACAAACCAGATGCAAACATGGCGAATTTCATATGAACACTAGTAAACATGCCCATGCATTGCAACGGGAAAAAGTGCTCCTACCCCAAAATTTCATAAAACAGAAATGAAGCATATGGTTAGTTTTAAAGATCAACCTTGCTCTAGAAGCAAATTTTTGGCCCAGTCCACATCGCCCGCACCGCCGAGTACTTTTCGACAACCGACAATGAACAACGACAAAGCGAAGCACTGAATTCCCGATTGATTGAAGCAACTGTTATAGTTAAATTGATTCAAAGAACCAAATACACGTTAGAGGAGGGATACAAATCACATAGTAGTATTCAGATTAGGAGCTATTTGATACAGAGTTAAGAAACTTCTAAATGGGTACCTTGAATAACATGATTTGGATCATTGTTTGATTTATTCTATGGCAAATACAAATCGGATCTGAGTTCCCTTCGCGTCTTCTTTCTTTTGCATAATTTTTCCAGTTCCAATTTGGCGAGCTTGATCTGGTTTGCAGGCTTCTAGATCATGGTCGGTCATGTTTTCTTTACGAAATGGTCGATCATGCTTTGAAAATTGTCATTTTGTTTTTTTTTTTGACGATTAATTGTCATTTTGTTAGCATCTAGAAAGAGGCACTTCGGTTCAGGCCAGAAAGAGGTCTACATTATTGATTGAAGGGCTACATTATTGACTGAAGGTGCAAGCGGATCATTATTTTTTATTCTTGGATTGGGTAAATTCTAACAACTTTGAGGACACTTCCAATGATGGGCAAATAATTGGGGAGAAATAATATAGGTAGAGAAATATATTGTACTCCCTCCGTCCGCCAAAGAGCGTACGTCTGGCTCCTGATTTTTTCCCAAAATAAGTGTACATCTGGCTCCCCCGCTGGTAATTTTCCATTCACCCCCTGGTGCACGCAGTCCCACTTGTGCACTGTCCCCTTGTGGGCATCGAAGGTTGTGAAACGCCTTATCTTTTTGGGTGGCTCATTGAAATAAAGCTTTGCCTTCTCCTGCGGTCGGAGCAAGAAAAACTCGAGCCTCACGACATCACCTTCTCTAGCAACAATATTCCATGGTTTATGATCTAAAAGAAATTGTCAAACCTAAGCTAGTTATATTTTACTTATGGCCAGTTAATTCCGAAAGGAATGCCCACACCCAGGGCAGCCCCGTCGTTCCAAATCAGCGGCATGCTTGTCCTAAGAATGAAGCAATGAAAGCTGAAGTAAACCGTGAAGCGATAGAAAAGTAAGCTACCTAGCTAACTGCCATGTTTGAAGCTTAACTGAAGCTAGCTAGCACGCATAGTGCATATTAAAACAGAACCAAGAGCATGCACGTGAGAAGGCAGACCTGGAAAGAAGCCGTAGAAGCGGCAAGCATGATCGATCTCTGCCATGACCCGTGGCCGTTGCTTGTCCGGCGAGGCGAGGCCGATGAGGAAGACGTTACCGGCAGACGGAAGCATCAGAGGATGTGGCAGCTGACAAAGGAGTCGGCTCACGGGCTAGACGATCAATCATAGGCAGCGCACGGCGACTCGGCTTAGGTCGGTGAATCACGGGTGGCGCCGTCAATGTCGGCTTGAGGGCTGCATCCTTGATGGGTGTGCAAGCCAGTCGTGCGAATGAACCTCTCCTCTGCCTGTCCTTCATGGCACACTTCAAGCTAACGTAGTGTCGTCAGAACTCATAGATCGTTGAAGTGCTCCAGCTCGTAATAGTAGCCATCCATGTCCAGCATTGCTATGGACGTAAGAACACCAAAAGAAATCTCGCAAAAATTTTACCAAAAGAAGACAATGCTAATAAGGATCTGAGAACACGACGGATCTAAGGAGACGCCGTGTGTGTTCCCTCCTATCTTTTGTCACAATGAACTAAAATTTTACACATGTGCCCCTGCGTTGCAAGGAAAGTGAAAGTCAGTGTGTTCATTAAAACATCCATCGAAATCGTCACTATAGCTTCTGAAAGGTACCACCCGACTATGGCAGGGAGGCATACGACTAGGTCTAGAAGAAATGCATACCGACTGCACATTAAACATGAAACGATTATCCTTGCAGCGTTTGCGTAGTCGGTTTCGCAGTACGTCAATCTGACTTTCGCGTACAGCTTGCAAAAAACATTGGCCAGACTTATAGTGTCGTGTGTGCCGCAGGCAGCAGCGATTCATGATCAAAGCTGCATGTAGATCAACCCGGTATTTTTTCAAACTAAAATAAAATTTGATAGCGGCAACACACCAAGAAATAAAAACAATAACATGCACAACTCTGAACGCACACACAGAAAGGTTTGTTTTCTTAGTGCACGGCTGCTATTCTCCTCATTCACGTGGCTTACGATCCAACATGGTCTCGCTAAGCCCAGCTAGCCGCCCAGGCCGGCCCAACCCTTGTAGCCCACGAGGCCCAGCCGCCACAGCAGTCAACCCTAACGATCTTTGAGCCCCTCCCGATCGAGCAGCCTCTCCCCTCGTTCCCCACAGATCCCTCTTTGAATATGAATCATTGGAAATCTCGGGGCATACTACAACTTACAGTATTCTGTTAGTCAAATCTATGGTACAAAATTTGGCGTAAAATACGAAGGGGACAGTAAGCCCGGACACAGTTAGTACATATATTTAGTTTCCTCCACTTTTTTCAACATTGAATTGCGTGCTCATTATCCTGCAAGATGAAGCGTGCATTCACACTGCACCTCAGGCAACTACATGCATTCCTCGTGCTGTTGGAGGGTGTTTGGGTCAAATCTCTTAGCGTCCAAATGCATGCTCACAACACCAACTACTCCTTCTGTTCTCTTTTATAAGACGTTTAGACAATTTAGACAGAGCACAAGACAGTTCAATGTCAGCTGTCCGAAACGTCTTATAAAAAAGAATGGAGGGAGTAGTTGGCGTTGGAGTATTTCATTTCGCAAGTTTGGGCTTTGAACAACCACCTCCAAGTCAAAACTAATTCAGTCGGCAACCACCTCCACAGCCGAGTACTTAGACATCCTCCTGCACATGAGAACTTTGATTTCTACACTCCATAGCTGTAACCTACAACAGCCATGCCATCTTCCGCTGTCTTATTTCTAAGCTTTGTTTGGTTTCTATACCTCTTTTGCTTCCTTTGCAGCCTGCCACTAGCCATCTGCAAGGAAACTGAAAGTGATAGACAGGCCCTCCTTTGCTTCAAGTCCAGACTCTCAGGCCCAGCAGGAGTTTTAGCTTCATGGAGCAATAAGTCCTTTGATGTTTGCGAGTGGCATGGGATCACCTGCAGCAAACCGTGTCCTCGCCGTGTGATTGCGCTGGACCTCGAGTCGGAAGGCATGTCAGGCTCCATATCACCTTGCGTTGCTAACCTGACTTCTATTGCAAGGCTGCAGCTGTCAAACAACAACTTAAGTGGTGGCATACCATCGGTTGGCCTCCTGCCCCGTCTCCGTGATCTCAACCTCAGCAGGAGCAACTTGGAAGGTAACATACCGCCATCTTTGGGCAGCAGCCCTTCTCTCACATATGTCAATCTTGGGGTGAACGCTCTAACATGGGTCATCCCGGAGTCCCTGGCATACTATAGTTCATCCCTCCGAATACTTTGGCTCAATAGCAATAGTCTTGGTGGAGAACTGCCAAAGGCTCTCTTCAACACATCATCTCTTGTTGACATTTCCCTCCAACACAACAACCTTGTTGGTTCCATACCTGTTGTTACTGCCACCTCTCCCCCTATTGAATACCTCGATTTAAGTGATAATCATATTTCAGGAAAAATACCTTCCTCACTAGGGAACCTTTCCTCCCTTGTGGATCTTCGTCTTACGGGGAACAATTTAGTCAGGAGCATACCAGAGAGCTTAGGTTATATCTCACCTCTGCAGATACTGGCATTGACTGCCAACAACTTGTCTGGGACAGTTCCACCATCTCTCTTCAATATGTCATCTCCGACATTTCTTAGCCTAGGAAACAATTCGCTTGTTGGAAGGTTACCCCACAATATTAGCTACACACTCCCGAATATTCAGACATTAGTGTTGTCAACAAACAAGTTTGATGGCCCAATCCCAGCTTCTCTTCCAAAAGTTTACAACCTTCGTCTGTTCGTCAGCTTTACTTGTATAACAACACACTAACTGGGTTCATACCCTTCTTTGGGTCATCGCCAAATTTGGAGGAACTTGATTTGTCATACAACAGGCTAGAAACAGGAAAATGGGGATTTATGTCTTCACTCGCAAATTGTACCAGGTTGGCTAAGCTGCTGTTGGTTGGGAACAATCTTCAAGGCAAAATGCCAAGTTCGATAGGCAATCTTTCTGATAGTCTTGAGTGGCTTTGGCTAAGGGAAAACCAAATTTCTGGGTCTATACCACCGGAGATTGGCAATCTTAAGAGCCTCACTAGGGTTTACATGGATTACAATCTTATCACTGGAAATATACGACCAACTATTGGTAATTTGCACCACTTGGTCCATCTATCCTTTGCACACAACAAACTGTCAGGGCAAATCCCGGATACTATATATTGGTAATCTGGTTAAGCTAATGTCTTTGAAACTGGATGAGAACAACATTAGTGGAAGGATACCTGCAAGTATAGGAAGTTGTACTCAACTCAAGGAACTCAACCTTTGTCAGAACTCGCTTGATGGGAGTATACTGTAAGAAAAACTGTAATGCGGAAACTTTAATGTAATATTGTTTTGCACAAAGTGATCCAACCCTTTTGATCTCTCCTACTTACATACTTTGATGAGCCCATAATTTATGCGGAATACCCAGAAATCCATGTGAAATCATCGGCACAGTAGTTGTGTAGCCGACTACGATTAGCAGAGTGTTTTGTCTTCTCTCTACGTCTTCACTTCAGTGTTCTTCTGATGGATGAAGAACCAATACTTTCAGTTTCAATGTGTGCACCTTTCCATTACGTCATGCGCTCCTTACTCTCTGACGAGTGTTATCATGTTCTTAATTGATTGACACTAGATTGTTGGAACTCTCCCAAAGGGTCGACCACATCTAAACACACCAACGCACGCGCACAAAAACTTTAGCCAAGGGTACATCTCGCATACCCTCTAATATGCGCAAAACCAACCGACCCAAGTATCCTGCACGTACACGGACTAGGACTCAACAGCTAACACGAACTAGTACTTTTCCAATACAAAAGTAGCTTTCCTAACACAGCACGACTAGCACTTCTACTTTGACTCACACGTGGCTTTACAAAGCCAGGACACTTCCCTAAACTAATCACCGGCAGGCCTGATCACTTCCTAATCGGACAGAACTAGCCTACACAGTAACACCTTTTTGAGTTGCCATGCATGCAACGCACATCCAATACTCACCTATGTTTGGATTATTCTAACAATCACCCCCTAATTCAAACATATGACTTTTTACTCAATGAGACATGTAGATAATCACCTCTTCATCTTGTCACGCCGGTTGCTTCTAGTGACGTGACTTACCAGACCGCAACTCTCTTCTTGTAATAACATCTTCACCATCTTTTCTTTTGCATGCTGACTTGTAGACTAAAACCAACAATTACTCGGACTATCAACCACGGTGTCACATCTTAGCGTGCTACTTGCAGACCAAACGCATAACCTCATGCATGATCTCAACTTAGCCAGTGCGCGTGCTCTTCAAGCTAGCCTTTGTCTTCTCGCCGACTGCTTGCACATGGGGAGACACATCTCTTCACCCATCACATCTTAACAACTACTCATTGTTGTCGATGCCACATCTTACCGACCGACATCTCCTGTCCAGCGGCAACACAACTCTCCATATACATGCAAATCAACTTCATCATATATGAACTCGTCAGAACTCCTTGATCACGAACGGAAACGCAAGGCAGAATTTCCTTTTTCCATCCGCTCTTGTCCTCAATTCTCCTCCGCCAGTGAGACATCTCAACTACAGCAGAAGACTCACACCCCCGAGCTCTTGGACACATCATTCAAGAACCCACTTGCACACCTTGACGATGGCGCGCAATTTTACGATCTCCTCCTTGCACTCCCTGACTACGACCTTTACAAGTTTCCGGCACTGCACCTCGGCACCATCGCTCCCATCAACAATATATTTCCACCACCTTGCCGACAACAGCCTATCGTCTCCTTCCTGGTCGTTTCGCCGAACGACAATCACACGTCGACATCTTGCCTGCGTGGTAATAGCCCACATGTTAGTGCCTCCATAGCAATGGCCCACATGTTAGTGGCTAGGAGTACATTTTTTTTATAACTCCCTACATTTTTAAAATACGCAGAAAAGCCCAGGTGGGACCCACATGTCAGTGGACTATGTAAGATGAAAAATGTCGAGAAAGATATCTGTTGATGGGACGGGGGAGGTTTCGAACTCGCGGTTGGCTGAAGGTGCGCTCACCTGGTGAACCACCTGGCACGGTGACATGTGGGCTTATCACACGGATAATTACATTCTAAATCACTTAACAGTAAACACGTGGGCTTGTTAGCTGAGATGAGTTATGGTCAGTACAACCAATTTGGCACCATTTCTTTTCGAAATTTGTAGATAGTATTGTTTGCTGCCCCTTAAAAAAAGATAGTATTGTTTGCTTCAAATTATGGTCTCGGTAATAAAAATAACGTTTAAATTTTCATGTCTCATAAATATTGTAACTATAAACGAAATATTTTTAAATTGTTCATGTATTATTCAAAGAATATTTTGAATTAAAAATAATAATTATGAATTAATATAATGTTTAAGATAATACAAATATTTGTGAAATTAAAATAAAAAATTTATTTTAATTAAACGAACATTTCAATATTTATATGCACATTTTATACTTCAACGTTCATATAATTTTAAAAAAAGTCATAATTTAAAATTTAAACTGTTGATATGAATATTCAATCATGCCTATTTTTTAATGCAAGTCATAAGTAAAGTAATGATATGTTTGTATTAACTAAAGATTAAAAAAATGATTAATTGAACATATTTATTTAGTAAAGTTTTAGACATCTGTATTGACTAAACATTTTTTATATAATTACAAGGGTTTATACTTAAATGTTTGACTTAGGGCATCTCCAGCCGCGCCCCAGGAAGGCCTCCCCAGGCGATTTTTTCGCACCGGCGCCGAAAAAACGGCCCAGTAGCGCCCCCAGGAGCCCGATTTTCGCCGGCTTGGGCCGAAAACAGCGCCGGTGGACCCAGGCCGAACCCGGCGCGCTGGGGGGCGCTTGGGGGCGCCGGGGCGAGCTGTTTTGGCACGATAAAGACGCGGGCCAGCCGCGTCAGTGACTCAGCGCCTCGTCTTCCCCCAACGGCCTCGGTTCCCGCGGGGAATCAATGGCAAGGCTGCCGTCGGTCAGCCTTGCCATTGATTCCTCACGGGCGGCGCGTCACGGGACGGCGCGCCGGCACCTCCCCTTCCTCGCACGCGTACACACAGGCGCGGCCCGGCTATAAAATCCGGCGGCCTCCACTCACCAGCGCCCACACCAGCCCCGCCCCTCGCCGCCGTCCAGCCCCTCCTCCCCCTACCTCTCCCGAGCGCCGCCACCCAGTCCCTCCCTCTACCTCTCCCGAGCCCGCCCAGCCCCGCCTTCGCCATGGCAGAACGCTTCCCCGGAGATACGGCGGCGGCCAACGGCTTCGGCCGCCGTTCGCTCCGCGAACAGGAGCCTCCTGGCTCATGTTCCAGGCGAACATCCCGGCGCTGCCGGACATGCGCGCCGGGCCGACGGGGTGGAGGCGCAGCGCCGGGGGAGTGCCCATTCCCCCGTTGCCCGACGCCGTGGCGAAGCCAAGGTACTTCGCCGAGGAGGTCGACATCGCGCGCGCGTCCCTCCCCGTCGCCGAGCTCTCCCTCCCCCAGTACGCCGCCGACAACCACGCGGCCTGGGCGGCGTATTTCGAGCGCCGCCAACAGCAGCGCTTGACGTCCACCAACGGCGCGCCGGTGATCGGCGGCCGGCAGAACAGCGAGGGGCGCCACCTCTGGTGGGGCGTCCCCGGCCGCACACTCGAGGGCGTGCTCATGTACCTCGAGGGCGGCAACGACCCGCCGTTGGCGTACCCCCCGGCGAGGGTGGCCGCCCCGGCGCAGCACCGACGCGCCGGGCCATGGGCTCCAAGGAGGTTCGGTGCCTCCTCTTCTTCCTCCTCTTCCCGTTCTTCTTCTCACTCCTCCGGCTCTCCGGCGCTGCTCGGCGTCAAGGCCGAGCCAGCGGCGGAGATGCCGCTCGGCCGGCGCACTCGCAGCGCCGGCATCGTCATCAACGAGGGCGGCCGGCGTGCCCCCTCGTCGGCTCCTCCACGCTTCGTCAAGCCAAAGACGGAGCCCGGGCGGGCGCCGGTGAAGACGGAGCCGGGGCTGGCGCCGGTGAAGGCGGAGTTCGACGACGACGACGACGCGGCCCTCGAATGGGCGCGCCAGGACTCCATTGCGATGGAGAAGGCACGCCGCGAGAAGGAGAAGGAGCGCCAGCGCGTCGCCCTACGCCGCTTCGAGGAGCGCCGACGCGGCCGCGAGGAAGGCGGGGTCGTCGTCTTGTGCGACAGCAACGACGACGACTACGCGCCGCCGCCTGTTCGCCATGGCGACGCCGGGCAGGGGTCCAGCAGGGGCACCCGCGTCAAGGAGGAGAAGACCGACGACGACGACGGCGGCGACTTTAGCCCATTTCTTTTTTTTAGATTAGGTTAATGTAATGTTTGGCCGAATTTCGCCGAAATTTGTAATGTTTGGCCGAAATTTAACTAGTTTTTATCATAACTTTGCCGAACGGTTCTGTTTTTTCTTTAAGATACGCGCCTGGGGGCGGCCCTGGGGGCCAACGGCTGGGGACCGACTCGCCCCAGTGCTATTTTTTTCGCCGGCTCACCCCCAGGCGGCGCTTTTAGACGCCCCCTGGGGGGCCAACGGCTGGAGATGCCCTTACTAATCAATAAACCTTGTTATCTTTTCTATAAAAACCTTGTTATCTGTTTTAGTTGCTATATCGATTTGTGGGTCGCGGGTTTGGGACATGTAGCCACCCCCCCCCCCCTCCTCCCAACACAGCAGTACAACGATTGTTTTTTCGGTAAATAAAAAAATCCAAAGAAATATAAGGTTGCTTTGT